TCATTAGTCCCTAGCCTTATCTTATAGTTAGGATAGCCTTATGCCTGTCCCACGCATGCTTAAACTCCTTTACTGTGTTAACCTCTACCACTTCAGCTGGAAGGCTATTCCATGCATCAACTACCCTCTCAGTAAAGTAATATTTCCTGATATTATTTTTAAACCTTTGCCCCTCTAATTTAAGACTATGTCCTTGTTATGGTAGTTTTTCTTCTTTTAAATATAGTCCCCTCCTTTACTGCGTTGATTCCCTCTATATATTTAAATATAGTCTCCTCCTTTACTGTGTTGATTCCCTTTATATATTTAAATGTTTCTGTCATATCCCCCTGTCTCGTCTTTCCTCCAAGCTATACATGTTAAGATCCTTTAACCTTTCCTGGTAAGTTTTATCCTGCAATCCATGAACCAGTTTAGTAGCCCTTCTCTGAACCCTCTCTAAGGTATCAATATCCTTCTGAATATCCTTCGGACGGTCTCCAGTACTGTGTACAATACTCCAAGTGAGGTCTCACCAGTGTTCTGTACAATGGCATGAGCACTTCCCTCTTTCTACTGCTAATACCTCTCCTTATACAACCAAACATTCTGCTAGCATTTCCTGCTGCTCTATTACATTGTCTGCCTACCTTTTAAGTCATCAGAAATAATCACCCCTAAATCCCTTTCCTCAGATGTTGTATCAAATATTCTGTACTCTGCCCTTGGGTTTTTACATCCAAGATGCATTATCTTGCACTTATCCACATTAAATGTCAGTTGCCACAACTCTGACCATTTTTCTAGTTCACCTAAATCATTTGGCATTTGGCTTATCCCTCCTGAAACATCACCACTGTTGCATCATCAAGGTGTGCACTAACATCTGCTGTTTCTGGGGTGATGAGTGTGATTGGTGCTCTACTTGCAGTATGTATTTGTGGATGGCTTTTGCCTCGGCACCTCTGCAGCAAGTGCTAGAGAACTGCTTTTCTGGAAATTCGGATTTGAGCTCTAGAAAACAAAGCCAAGACTGACAGTCTTGAAATGGGCTTGTTACTAATAGCACCAAGTTTTATCCGGAAAATGTAGCATTGTGGATGGAAACACGCCATTTCGGGAATAGGTAGGTAACTATGTAATCACCAGACATGGAGTGCCAGGTGGATAGACATTGAAAGAGCGTGACCAGCCCCGATTTTCTCCACTCACCTGACACATCTGTGCAGATATTACCTGTGCCATGTGGTACAGTGGAAAGGCAGCAGCAGTCACACAGGTCAATGTACGAGTGAAGTTGTGTAGAAAGGAGTTGTTTTTTTATTAGAGCATGTGACGAGACCAACCTCGCCACATTGCATTGCAGAAGCCTGGTTGCTCGCCTGCTGCCTCTGGACTATGGCCCCCTTTTAAAAGACTTTATTTCGCCTGGAGATAAGCTGTATTCGTGCTTTTCTGCCAGTTGTTCGGTAGATTCAATCTACCGACCAACCGCACGAATGAAAAGACCACCTGGGAGCTGGAGTGTGCCGGCAATTAACCTCCCTGAAGCTGCGGTTAACCGCAGCTTAATTGACGAATGCTGGGTGGCCGCCATTCGTATCACGAACACGAGGTCGCGGCCATTTTAAACATACGAATGCACAGCGGTGTTCGCCCCTATTTTCATGGAACTAAAATCGGACACAGTTTTGCGCAAACACCGCTGAAGCCGCCGACCTCCCTTCTTGTTCGGTGGAAGTGCACGAACGGCCCGGTGTTCGGTAGTTTTGGTTGAATGTGTTATACCCCAGATAGGAATCCCATGGAGCCCATTCGTATGAAACTGACTGTAAAGACTTTGGCTCCATGGCGATTAAATTGTATTCGTGTGGTCTGAGCGCCATTCGCTTAATAATGTGCGCTCAGACCTGAGCTATCTGGGGATATGTTACATGTCTGTGTTTTATGTAATAAATGTTACTTTATGATTTTAAAGTATAATACTGGTTTTGTATCCCCACATGTGTAATGGAGTTTTGCCTTTGTCTTGGGAGATAATTTAATTACTTCCCAATTATCTCCCAGGGCAGAGGGGAGGAAGCCAGGATGCATTGTGGGAATATATTGTGACTGTGTGTCCTATTTGTCTACTTGTCTGCAGGGCCGTCTTTAAGGAGGGGCAAACGGGGCAGCTGCTCTGTGCCCAGTTACTCATGGGGGGCCCAAAGCAGCTGCCCCGTGGGCCCCGTTGCCTGCAATAAAAATTTATTTTTTAAAAATATTTCCCTACCTAATGGGCCCGCGGTGCTAGTATTGCAGCTGCACCGGGGCCCGCACACTAAGGGCCCCCCCCCCGGGTGGCCCATACCTTTAGGGCCACACAGTGAGCATGTTCCAGCAGGGGTCCGGTCGGCGCTGTGGCCCTTTAACAGCGCGACCGGGCCCCTTGCTTAACGGCTGCATGGGAGGAAGTGACGTCCTCGAATCACTTCCTCCCACCTCAAAGATATCGGGCCGCGCGGGATGCTGCTAGCCAGGATCCAGTGAGGAGGGGGGAGCAAGAAGAGCCAGACCCCCAACTCCCAACTACCCCAGCCAGCACACTGGACCCCAGGAAAGGAAGCCTCTTTCAAAGGTAGGAAACTGAAGAGTGTCTGTCTGTGTGTGTGTCAGTTTGTATGTCTGTCTGTGTGTCAGTATGTAGGTGTCAGTCAGTATATGTCTGTGTGTCAGTTTGTATGTCTATGTGTGTGTCAGTATGTATGTCTGTGTGTCAGTATGTATGTCTGTGTGTGTGTCAGTTTGTATGTCTGTGTGCCAGTTTGTATGTCTGTGTGTGTGTCAGTATGTATGTCTGTGTGTCAGTTTGTATGTCTGTGTGTGTGTCAGTATGTATGTCTGTGTGTCAGTTTGTATGTCTGTGTGTGTGTCAGTTTGTATGTCTGTGTGTCAGTTTGTATGTCTGTGTGTGTGTCAGTATGTATGTCTGTGTGTCAGTTTGTATGTCTGTGTGTGTGTCAGTATGTATGTCTGTGTGTCAGTTTGTATGTCTGTGTGTGTGTCAGTATGTATGCCTGTGTGTCAGTTTGTATGTCTGTGTGTGTGTCAGTTTGTATGTCTGTGTGTGTGTGTCAGTTTGTATGTCTGTGTGTGTGTCAGTATGTATGTCTGTGTGTATGTCAGTATGTCTGTGTGTGTCAGTTTGTGTGTCTGTATGTATGTCGGTGTGCCAGTCAGTATGTTTGTGTATGTGTCAGTATGTATGTCTGTCACGGTGTCAGTATGTCTACAGAAAAACTAGTTACGGCGCACTCAGAGTTGTAAATTAATAACTAAGAAGGCTATCGCCTATCTAAGAATAAATATGGGGATTTAGTTCCACCATATGGCCATATGATGTTAAGCCCACTACTACTTCAAAGTACCCCAATATCAGTGGGTCCTACGCTAATAACAAAAATGTGGGAGATAAATTAAATAGTACTAGTGCTAAACATAAGCTACAGTGTATTGAATTCATTTCTTTGTAAGAGCAAAGTGAGTATACAATAGTGATAAAGGCAATTAAAAACAGTGTAACAACTAAACAATTAAAGTGTTGGTGCTTGAATGAGTATACTCACATTTGCAGATAATATCTGTGCTGCATAAAGAAAATAATAAAAGTGACATGACTATAAAACTCCTCCTATTTATACACACCTGTGGCCACCTCTAAAGAGGTCTCTGAGCGGGGTGCCTGGGCGGGGTGCTTAACCCCAAAAGGAATCTGGTCTGGATTCCAAATATAATTGCACAAAGGAGAGATTGGGGGCACTAGTACCATTTAATTTATCTCCCACATTTTTGTTATTAGTGTAGGACCCACTGATATTGGGGTACTTTGAAGTAGTAGTGGGCTTAACATCATATGGCCATATGGTGGAACTAAATCCCCATATTTATTCTTAGGTAGGCGTTAGCCTTCTTAGTTATTAATTTACAAGTCTGAGTGCGCCGTAACTAGTTTTTCTGTATGAATTTTGGTCACTGCGGCAGCACCTTTCATGTATACGGGTGTGCCCCCAATCTCTCCTTTGTGCAATTATATTTGGAATCCAGACCAGATTCCTTTGGGGTTAAGCACCCCACCCAGGCCCCCCAGCTTCAGAGACCTCTTTAGAGGTGGCCACAGGTGTGTATAAATAGGAGGAGTTTTATAGTCATGTCACTTTTATTATTTTCTTTATGCAGCACAGATATTATCTGCAAATGTGAGTATACTCATTTAAGCACCAACACTTTAATTGTTTAGTTGTTACACTGTTTTTAATTGCTTTTATCACTATTGTATACTCACTTTGCTCTTACAAAGAAATGAATTCAATACACTGTAGCTTATGTTTAGCACTAATACTATTTAATTTATCTCCCACATTTTTGTTATTAGCGTAGGACCCACTGATATTGGGGTACTTTGAAGTAGTAGTGGGCTTAACATCATATGGCCATATGGTGTAACTAAATCCCCATATTTATTCTTAGATAGGCGTTAGCCTTCTTAGTTATTAATTTACAAGTCTGAGTGCGCCGTAACTAGTTTTTCTGTATGAATTTTGGTCACTGCGGCAGCACCTTTCATGTATACGGGTGTGCCCCCAATCTCTCCTTAGTGTCAGTATGTCTGTCGCAGTGTCTGTGTGTGTGTGTGTCAGTGTGTATCTGTATGTTGTCAGTATGTATGTATCTGTGTGTGTGTGCCAGTGTGTATACCTGTGCATGTATCTGTATGTAGCCAATGTGTGTATCTGCATGTGTGTCAGTGTTTGTATCTGCATTTGTCAGGTTATGTATCTGTGTGTCTGTATGTTGTCATTGTGTGTGTCTGTGTATCTGTATGTTGTCAGTGTATCTGCGTGTCTGCATGTGAGCCAGGTTGTGTGTCTGTATGTGTGTGTGTCAGTGTGTGTAAATGTGTCTGTATAGCTGCATCTGTATGATTGTGTATATCTGTGTATCTTCAAGTGTTTCTGTGTGTGTATGTGTATCACAGTGTGTGTGTGTGTGTGTGTTTGTGACAGTGCATGTGTATTTGTGCATACATCTCAGCATTCAACACTACACACCTGCATTCAAACTTCAACACTACATATAAACACACCTTTTTTTAAACAACAAAATTATATATAAACACACCAGTGTATTCATAAACCAACACTACACATAAATGCATACTTGCATTTAAATGCCATCTCCACATACAAACACACCCCTACATTCACACAAACATACTCCATACAAAAACATGCTTACACTCAAACACACAAATACTGCTCAGTGCTAAATATAACCCTGCATGCATAGGAAAATGGTAGCGCCCCAGCTGTCAAAGCATTGTTGGAGTTGCATGACAGATGGGGATCTACCTTTTGCCCCCTCTTGCCCAAAATAATTCATGCACCAGAGCCCTCTCTACTTTACGTCCGCCTCTGCGTTGGGGTGGGGGGGCATGATTGCATGCCAGGGAGGGGACGACCGGGTTCAGGGGGCCCAAGCAAATGTTTGCCCAGGGTCTAATCCATATTAAAGACGGCCCTGCTTGTCTGTCTTTTGTCACAGTCTCCCATTTGGTCCCCTAGGGGAGTGTCCACCAGGTGGGAGACCTGCATAAATACTGGGCAGGTAGCCCTCATTAAACAGACCACTGCTTGACCCTCAACACAGAGCCTTGTCTCGTCTTGGGGGGATTCACTGTATGCTGTTAGAGACTGATTGCCAGGAGTGTAAGCTGATTGTCTGCTTTTCCTGTTCGTCTGCTAGCAGCTATTTGGGAGGTTCCAGTTCGGGAGTTGGAGTGCTATTTTGTATCCAGTTCGGGAGTTTGGTGTTCTGCAGTAGCTGTGCCTGTATCTCTGGAAAGGGGGCCGATCGCCTAAACTGTTTTTTTCCCCTTTTGTGCAAAACGGTCCGTTACAGAGCACTGGGCTGATTTTGCACTTGGCTGAAATCTCTGTACTATAGCTCTATAGGATTGACTTTAAACTAGGAATGGGGGGACTATACACTTACATGATGGGAGGGATTGGTGACATATGTTAGACACAGTGTACAGGGGACAACCCTTTCTAAAAAGGAAGCAGGGCCGGGGTACAGTGAACTGTAATGTTTTTTTTTTGTTTTAGTTCTTATTGAGGAATTGCTTTGTATGTTTGGGATGTCATTTTTCTTAAATTTACATCTCATCTTGGAGTTTCCAACAATGAAGCAAGGAGTCAGGTCTCATAGCGAGCACACAATGCGAATCTTCACAGGCGCACGGTACTAAAACAAACTGGCTCTGTACCAGCCAGAAGTAATGTTTTTGGCAGATGAACTTTCTGAACAGCCAATAAATTAAATGATTCATGCTGGAGAAAACCATCCTCGTGACTACTGGAAAATGTATGCGTTGTTGGCGTTACATGGAAAATATGTTCATGGATGTGTGCATGCAATGTGTTTCTATATCTAAGCATGCATGCACATGCTTGCTGATAATGGCAAACACTATTGGGATGTAAGGTAATAAATTAACTTCATAATAAAATATATATATATAGTGCAATATAAACTGCGCATGTTGTAAGTCACAATTTAAATACAGATGCTTGAAATATAATTTGTAACAGCATTCTTCCCAAGTGTCCTTAAATAATAGGGTCAGTCCCAATTGTGGGCTCAAATCCTGTTGCCCCTCTTATCTATCTAAATGTCCCTCTTTTCTAGGAGCTCCTTATTGTTGGTGTGTCTGAGTGTTCAGAGCTTCACAGCAATAATACTCCCAGTAATGTGTCTTTAAATTACAATAACTGTGTTTAGAAAGCAGTCTGTGTAAATAAGATACATTGTCATCATAAATTACATTAAATTGCATTTATATTACATTAAAGTGTTAATAACTTTCTCTAGCACCTTGCTTCCTCTTCTGCAACTGTAAATCTAAAAAAATAAAAAAGAACACTAAGCCCTTGGTGAAAATGATTCTAGCCTTACCTTTTGTGTCACTATATCCCACTCTCTCACTGAGCAGGGCCCTCAACACCCGTTGTGCGTCTAACTAATTGGGTTACAAATACGTGTCTGTTTGTCCACCCTTTGTACAGCGCTACATAATTTGTTGGCACTTTATAAATAATAATAATAATCTATTTTAAAATGGTGTAAACTTTGATATATGCAGGGCTGTTCACTAGATTAATAATTCATAGTGAATTCACAAATTCAGCTCATTGAAGTGGTCTGGGTGCCTGGTCCCAGGGTCCCTTAACCCTGCAATTGTACTTATTGCAGTTTTGAATAAACTCCAATAATTACCTTTGAGGGTTAATTCCACCTCTAGTGGCTGTCTACCAGATCATTAGAAGACTTTTAGTCACTTAACTTATGCTGGACGTCCTCACACTATGCTATTAGGACTCCCAGTGTCATGTAAAACCCCATGGTAAGAATTATACATGCTTCCCTATGGGGGAAATACTAATGCAAGCTGGCTCATTTAAAGATCACTTTGAATTCTCACTTTATTAAATAAGCCTCTAACCATTCTCCAGTACCTGGAATGGACTTCTCGTGTAATATTCTTGTCTTTTTTCAATATTATCATTTTTTTAACTTTATCTTTTACCCTTAAAACTCGACCTTGCTATATAGTTATTCTCGGTTATCTGCATTGATACTCTGTATAGATTTATGTGAACTGGTTTATTCTTTTACATAGATCTCATATTTGCATATTGATGATGCCTGAGGAACCCATGAATGTTGTTTTACATCCCACTGCCACGAAAACCTAAAAGTTATAGGGTGAAGGTCACCCTATAGTAAAGTAAAACTATTTAATCTATTACATATCTACCAGATAGGAAGATGTTATCTAGATTGTCGCTCATGGTGTCCAATGATAGTTCAATGTGCAAGTCCCTGCTCTGGCACTCTTGACCTCTTGGACTAGCTTGACCATACTTAGTGATAACAGATAATCGTAGATCTGATCCAAATATGCTGAGATTACAGTCAATGGAAAGAGATTTAGTCAATATATGTTAAATCAAGCACACTATATAGAAGAGTTGCACTTTATGGTCAATGGCCATGGTAGTCCAGTTGTGGGATACTTTGATGCTGTGACAGACTAAGCTTCAGAAATCTTTGAAAGTAAGAAACATGAAGCTTTGAAAAATCTATATGTTATTTCATAACACCAGGTGATTTTCTCTGTAATATAGCTATGTTGTGTCTATCCTGGTTCTTTAACCTTTGACCCTCCGCTAAATAATCACTTAAATATTTCTTACTCAGTGTCATATTTGATGTTTTAAATTCCACATAGGATACTCATATAAATGGTAATGCTAACATTCACTAACATAATTTAGATTTAGTACACACAGTTTGTTAATGCACAGGAAGAGAACGTGTCTCTGTCCGAGGTGCTGAAATGTAATGTCTGAAACCTCAGATAATACCAATATACGCAGGATTTGGAATAGAGGACAAGCTTTGTCAATACACCAATTGTATGCCTCTCAATCCCATTTGCTTCTCTCGCACATTCTCTTGCTTTAGCAAGGATTTTCAATTGGTTTTCACCATTCTTTTGCTGGTATAATCAGCCTAATTGTTCCTATTGTACGGCCACAGCATGCATGAAAAAAAAACGAAGTATGAGGTGTGATTGTTGTCATTCTTTTGCCAGCTCTTTGTGGCTAATATTCTGATAGAGCCTGCTGGCTGTCATACAATGCAGTCTTTACATTCCCTGTTAATTGACACTACTAAATTTAGTACGTGTCTCTTTGCTGCTTTTATCATACAGAACTGATTCTTCAGTACCAGACTGTATTTTCACTTGCTAAGAAACCATCTTTTGATTGAGAAAATTGTTTTATGACATGATAGGTGTGATGCAGATTTAAGAATTCAACCTCACTGTTCTTATTGATCCACCCTGCTATCACATTCAGCTTTGAAATGGGCTGGGGGCATGCTGCGATTCCTGTCCTATTGTGTGATTCATATGGCAAATAGAATGTATATGATATATTATACAGCTCAGTAAATATGGTAGGATGGTAGGATGGATGGTAGGATGGATGGATGGTAGGATGGTAGGATGGATGGATGGTAGCATGGATGGATGAATGGATGGTAGGATGGATGAATGGTAGGATGGATGGATGAATGGATGGTAGCATGGATGGATGAATGGATGGTAGGATGGATGAATGGTAGGATGGATGGATGAATGGATGGTAGGATGGATGGTAGGATGGATGGTAGGATGGATGGATGAATGGATGGTAGGATGGATGGTAGGATGGATGGTAGGATGGATGGATGAATGGATGGTAGGATGGATGAATGGTAGGATGGATGAATGGTAGGATGGATGGATGGATGAATGGATGGTAGGATGGATGAATGGTGGATGGATGAATGGTAGGATGGATGGATGGATGAATGGATGGTAGGATGGATGGATGGATGGATGGATGCATGGGCACATAGACAGGATGGATGGTAGGATGGATGGATGAATGGATGGTAGGATGTGGATGGATGGTGGGATGGATGGATGAATGGTAGGATGGATGAATGGTAGGATGGATGGATGGATGAATGGATGGTAGGATGGATGGATGGATGAATGGATGGTAGGATGGATGGTAGGATGGATGGTAGGATGAATGGATGGATGAATGGATGGATGAATGGATGGTTGGATGGATGGATGGATGGTAGGATGGATGGATGGTAGGATGGATGGATGAATGGTAGGATGGATGAATGGTAGGATGGATGGATGGATGAATGGATGGTAGGATGGATGGATGGATGAATGGATGGTAGGATGGATGAATGGTAGGATGGATGAATGGTAGGATGGATGGATGGATGAATGGATGGTAGGATGGATGGATGGATGGATGCATGGGCACATAGACAGGATGGATGGTAGGATGGATGGATGAATGGATGGTAGGATGGATGGATGGTAGGATGGATGGATGAATGGATGGTAGGATGGATGGATGAATGGATGGTAGGATGGATGGTAGGATGGATGGTTGGATGGATGGATGGATGGATGGATGGATGGATGCATGGGCACATAGACTGTTTATTTAAACCTTTTAATCCCTAGCATTTTTTTTTTTTAGCTAAAACTAAAAATCTTAATTTTGGGGGGAATTTGATGCTGTAATTGATTTTGTTAATTATTTTTGA